GTTAGTACTTGGATGGGTGACCGCTTGGGAACACCGCGTGCCGTTGTCTTTTTGCTTCTTTGCAATGCAAGCAAATGTTGCAAATAAAAAAGATAATTTTGCATTCAAAGGAAAATTAAATTACATTTTACCTATTCCTGATCTATTTATAAATTATTAAACCAAGGATAAAATTAAAATTATTATTGCCATCATGCGTTAAACAAGTTTGATTTTATCGTTTCTATTAATTTATGAAGTTATCACTTCTGTCGAGCGTTCCGTGGCGGACACCATTTTTTTGTTATTTTCTTTAGCTACCTGCTATAGTGCGATACTACAGTAGGTACCTAGTTTTGATATGCCAGACTTCCTTCATTGTTCTTGCTGGATGGTCTAGATCTATAAAAGCACAACAATGAAAGTGAAAGGGCGAAGATATGAAAAAAGCAAGCAAATAAGAGAAAGGTGTCTGCTGACTTTTTACGGAAAAAGCAAAAAATTAAGAAAACGAAATTAAATATTTTTCTAAATGTCCCTGTTAATTATTGTTTGTTTAGTAGAAAATGGTGTACTTTCACTTTGTTTCCCGCTTTCAACTTTAAAGCTTTTACGATTAAGCTTATGAAAATCTATTTTTATTTTTATAATGTAATTTTGTTTGCTGTTACATTTTCATGGCTGCAACTTATGTTTTTTTTATTGTACCTTGACATTGTCTTGCATATATGCATATGTGCAGATTTAGACAATTATATGTGTAAAAACTTACTTTATTTTATTTCATATTTTAGTTCCTACACTTTTCAAACTACACTCTTCAAATTAGATATGTAATTATTGGAATTTTGCAATATCTAGTCATCTGGATCATCTCATTAGCGTTATTAAAATCTGAAATTTTTGAAAAGCTTAGTCAAAAGCTGTTTAATTCTGAACTGGTGAACAATTTTAGCATCCGTGCGAAAATAACGTTATTTTCGTACAAGAACATTTTCGCATCATAGTTTATAAATCAAACTACCACTAATACACCCTTCAATTCGTATATCATTAAGCAACACCCGGTATTTTATGAAGTCGGTTTACAAATGAATAGTAACTCACATTTCATTATTTACAAATTCATTTATTCGCTTGTGTTCGCACGAGTGCATATCCTTAATTGAAACTTTTGTTACTGTGAGCGTGCGGTTGGATGTGAGATAATGTAAATGTAATACTTATTAAGCAATTAAATTATAAATCAAAATCAATTCCTGGGCTTCAGTCATTTATTGTCTATTTATCAATTAAAATACGTTTCGGTGTTTTTCACCATCATCAGTTTCTATGTGTGGCGTTGTTGCTACTTTAAGCCTTGGCATATATTTGCCATATGCCAAGTGCTTATATGCCAAAATATATGTCAAGGCTTAAAGTAGCAACAACGTTACACATAGAAACTAATGATGGTGGAAAACACCGAAACGTATTTTAATTGATAAATAGACAATAAATGACTGAAGCCCAGGCATTGATTTTGATTTGGAATTGAAACACAGTCAGGAAAGTATGTAC